CCCCAAAACCCCAAAACCCCATGCAGATATAATTGGAAAGTGAAAGTGAATTGGATTTGAGAAACTAAAAAAATAAAATGTATTGATACTATTATTCTATTGACCTTTATCTTATATAATAGTGATACCCAATAAGGGTTTGATATCATGTGGCAAGATCAACTTTTGTTGAATTCAACTTAAGCTTAGGGTTGTTGTAGTACTCTGTGAGGAAAAATAAGAACTAGTCCTTGTGATCCTCATCATCTGCATTTTTTAAGAATGGATGAATCATCAGCCGATATGTGTCTGCTCTTTCAACTGGATTCTTGACCAAGCAGCATTTATTCACAAAGTGTCTAAATTCCTTGGACCACGCCGTATCTTTGCCCTTAAGTCTTGGTGGATCATTATTCCTCATTTGATGCATAATTCTGCTTAAAGTCAAATTTTTATAAGGATTGTTGCCTGTCGCAAGTTCAAGTAAAATTATGCCTAAACTCCAAACATCAACTAAAGAATTGTAGGGCTTAGTTAGTAATATTTCAGGCGCCATCCATTTAGGAGTACCTTTTATCTCTTTGGAATTATAGCTCTCTTAGAAAAGCTGTGCTGCCAATCCGAAATCTCCTATTTTTAGCTCGCCTTAAGTACTGAGCATTACATTGAGGGGCTTTAAATCTCTATGAATCTGCGAATTTTCATGCATCATGTGAATGGCTAGCAGAATCTGCTTGCATATGTAGGCAATAACTGGCTCAGGTATCTGTCCAGGGATAGCTTTGATCATGGTGCTTAAATCTCCACCATCCATCCATTCCATGACAAGATAGAAGGAATCTTTATACTCGAATGAATGATAAATTCTAATGATATTCCTATGTTCTTTGCTTGCCATATTTTAGAGTGCTATCTCTGTCAAGGTGTCCTCAAGATCGCTTTCATCCTCTGGCTTAATCATTTTCATTGCAAAATGTCTGCGAGTCTTGATGTGTTCTACAAGAAATACTGAACCGAACCCACCAGTCCCAATTGTGGCTATTTTCTTGAAGTACTTGAAAGGGTCAGCCTTCATTATCTTATCACAAATACTGCTCATTTTTTAATACAGGGTTTTCTTATCCTGCATCTTTTTGAAACCCTCTGTTATAATAAAGTTCACCATCAGCAAATACTCAAAAGGCTCTTTGTCGATTTCTAATTACGATATCTATAGCTCCTTAAACTATCTCTCCCATTCTAAAGGTAGTCCCTTAAAGCCTATTTCGCTATTTACATCTACCATTACATTGTATTTCTTCTTGGTTGCTGGGACTTCAATTTTGAATTCCTTTGGATTTTAAAGTTAAGTTATCTTGTAGAAAAAATCGTCTTAAGTTTATTATATCTATGTTTTGCTTTCCTCTCTTTAAAAACTAGCTTCCATGCTAAAATATATGATTTTAACTTGTTCAATCTAATTATAATTCCAAAATCATTACAATATCTTTAACTTTATTATCTATCCTCATGGGGTTTTGGGGTTTTGGGGTTTTGGGG